TTATTGGACCAGTTGTGAGGATTTTTATTTTCTCTACATTGAGGTGTAATCCATACTGCAGACTGTAGTCTTTAATCTTCATCAGTAAGAGCTTCAAGTCATCATCCTTACTTTCAGCAAGCAAAGTTGTGTCATCTGTGTATCAAAGGATGTTAATAGGTCTTCCTCTAATCCTGATGCCATGTTCTTCATATAATCCATCTTCTTGGATTATTTGCTCAGCATACAAGTTGAATAAGTATGGTGAAAGGATACAACCTTCACACACTCCCTTCTTGATTTTGGACCATGAAGTATCCCCCTTGTTCTGTTTGAATGAGACAGCCTCCTGATCTATGTACAGGTTCCTCATGAGTACAATCAAGTGTTCTGGAATTCCCATTCTTCTCAATGTTAGCCATAATTTGTCATGATCCACACAATCAAATGCTTTTGCATAGTCAATAAAACATAAGTAAATATCTTTCTGGTATTCTTTGCTTTCAGCTAAGATCCATCTGACATCAGCAATGATATCCCTCATTCCATGTCTCGTTCTGAATTCAGCTTGCATTTTTGGAAGCTCTCTGTCAATATACTGTTGGAACTGTTTTTGAATTATCTTCAGGAAGATTGTACTTGCATGTGATATTAACTATATTGTTCAATAATTTCCTCATTCTGTGGGATCACCTTTCCTTGGGATGGGTACACATATGGATTTCTTCCAGACAGATGGCCAGGTAGCTGTCTTCCAAAACTCTTGGCATAGCCAAGTGAGTGTCTGCAGCGGGGTATCCGTTTGTTGAAACATCTCAATGGGTATTCCTTCAATTCCTGGAGCCTTGTTCTTCACCAGTTCCTTCAGTGCAGCTTTGACTTCTTCCTTCAATACCTTGGTTGTTGATCATATGCCGCCTCCTGAAATGGATGAACATCAACCAATTCTTTCTAGTACAGTGTCTCTGTGTATTCTTTCCATCTTTTTTGATGTATCCTGCACCATTCAATATTTTGGCCATAGAATCTTTCTATATCACAACTTTAGGCTTAAATTTTTTTCCTCAGTTCTTTCAGCTTGAGAAATTCTAACTCCAGGTCATTGCACATTTCATTATAGTAATTGGCTTTGTCTGCTCGAGCTGCTCTTTGAAATCTTCTGTTCAGCTCTTTTATCTTGTCTTTTCTTCCATTTGCTTTAGCTACTTTCCACTCAAGGGCAAGTTACAGAGTCTCTTCTGATACCCATGTTGGTCTTTTCTTCCTTTCTTGTCTTTTTAATGACCTTTCTTTCTTCATGGATGATATTTTTTATGTCATCCCACAATTCCTCTGGTTTTCAGTCACTGGTGTTCAGTGCATCAAGACTATTGTTTAAATGGTCTCTACAATGAGGAGGGATATTATCTGGGTTATATTTTGGCTCTTGTGGACTTGTTTCAGTTGTCTTCAACTTCACTTGAACATGCATATGAGCAGTTTATTGTCTGTTCCACAGTCAGCTTCTGGCTTTGTTTTGGCAAGATATTGAACTTCTCCATCGCCTCTTGCCACAGATGTAATCAATCTGATTCCTGTGTATTCCATATGGTGAGTCCATGTGTATAGCTATTGCTTATGTTGTTGAAAAAACAGTATTTGCAATGAATAAGTCATTGGTGTCACAAAATTCTATCTCGTGATCTTCAGTGTTACTTCTATCACCAAGGCCATATTTTCCAACTACCAGTAACTTCTTTGTTTCCAACTTTTGCATTCCAGTCACCAGTGATAATCAACACATCTTGATTGCATGTTTGGTCAATTTCAATTGTTTCAAATATTTCCTCTTAATTATTGTGATTTTTCTCTTCTTCTGGAATTGTTTTTTTTCTGGATAATGACAATTCTATTCTTTTAATTTTACTTTTGTATTATCTGTTTTTTGTCCTTCTTGTTTCTTTGTGGAAGAGTTTCTCAAGCTGATATTCCATATAATTACTTCATAAGCAAGTGTATTCATTCTTTCAGAGTCACTAGGTGGCACAAATGATTAAGTGCTTGGAGCTGAAAGGTTGACTATTCAAGTCCACCTAGAAGCACCTCTGAAGAAAGGCCTGGTGATCACTAGAAAACAGGCCTTGAAAACCCTATGGGGCACAGTTCTGCTCTATGACACACATAGGATCACCATGGAGTTGGAATTGACCCCATGCCAAGTGTTTTTGTTGTTATCATTTGTTTTGTTTTTATTGTTGTAGGGAAAGAACTAAAAGTCTCTATAAAGTAAACATAAAGAATTTTATTAATGGTAAAATAGGGAAACACAGAGTCAAGAAGCTCTTGACATAATGCTCCAGGGAGCTGTTCATTTACAAATGTTTATAAAGATAAGCATAAGGGTACAGCTAACATATTATGGTTGGTTGACATTTACAGAAGTGGGAGTTGACTGTCCATAATTCTTAAGGGGTGTTAGGTCCCCCTTGTGTTTAGGGTGAATAAGGTTATGGAAAAGTACAAAGTATCAAAGTGTTGTTGTTGTTGTTAGGTCCCATCGAGTTGGCTCCAATGCATAGTGACCCTGTGTACAACAGAACAAAACACTGCCTGGTCCTGTGCCACCCTCACAATTCTTGCTATACCTGAGCCCATCACTGCAGCCATTGTGTCAATCCATCTCAATGAGAGCCTTCCCCTTTTTCGTTGACCCTCCACTTTATGAAGCATGATATCCTTCTCCAGGGAATGGTCACTTCTGACAACATGACCAAAATAGGTGAGACAAAGTCTAGCCATTCTCACTTCCAAGGAGCATTCTGGCTAAACTTCTTCCAGTACCGATCTTTTAGCTCTCTTGGCAGTCCATGGTACTTTCAGCATTGTTCACTAACACCACAACTCAAAAGCATCGACTCTTCTTCAGTCTTCCTTATTCGTTGTCCAGCTTTCAATGTATATAAGGCGATTGAAAATACCATGACTTGGGTTACTCTTCAAAGAGGCATCTTTGGTCTTCAGCACTTTAAAGAGGTCTTTTGCAGCAGATTTGTCCAGTACAATACAAAGGGGGATCAGGAAATTTTTTTTTGGAGGAGGAAAAGTAGCATTTTCTGAGAACTGACTAATCACCAAAGTCACATTTCCTGGCATATTAGATCATCTAGACACCTGTTTCTGAGGTTAGTAAAGGCAATATGGTTTCTGAGAAGAAGTCAAGGAAATAATAATGGTGTTAGACCTGCATTATATTGGTGGTTCTATTAAAATATGAAAGCAGTTTGCTGACAGAATGCAACACTCATAAGTGGAAATGCTAAGTATTCCTATGTGTAAGGGGAGAAAAAGGGTTTTGATACAAAAAGGGTATAAGGAAGTCTAATATTAGTTTATTCTAACTATAAGAATGTCTTTCTGAAGATTAACCGCAACTTGTTCTCTTTAACACCTTTGTGAAAAAGGTAAGCAAAATGGCACTTTTCTGTAGATCTGCTCGTATCTAGGTCAAAGGTGCAGTGGAAACTTTTACAGAACTGACAGGTTGATTGTATACAAAACCAAAACCAAACTCACTGTGGTTGTGTCAATTTTGACTCAGTGATCCCTCTTTGTATTTCCAAGGCGGTACCTCTTCGGAAGTAGATTGCCCAATCTTCCTTCCAAGGAGTGGCTGGTGGATGTTAACTGCCAGCCTTCTGGTTAGCAGTCAAATACCTTATGCACTACGCCACCAGAGATTGTATTGTATGATAGAGAAATACAAATCAGAGAAGAGATTTTAGACCTAACTGAGAAGTTTTAAGTCATGTCAGGAGACTTAGTTTTTAAAGTGCTTTTCCTCATTATCCATTCCACTATTTATTCCATAAGGTGTTCTGGTGGTGCTGTGGTTAAAGCATTGGACTATTAACCAAAAGGTTGGTGGTTTCAACCCACCAGCCACTCCATGGGGGCAAAAATGGGACAGTCTGCTTCCATAAAGATTTATAGCCTTGGTAACCCTATGGAGAAGTTCCATTCTGTCCTGTGTAGTTGTTATGGGTTAGAATTGGTGCAATGGCTGTGGATTTGGTTTAATTAATTTATTATTTATTTATTTATATTCCACCTCTTTTGACCTTAAGGAGCTCTAGTTTGGCTGCTAACCAAAAGATCGGTGTTTCAAACCCACCAGGTGCTTTGCAGGAGTAAGATGAGGCTTTCTACTTCGGTAAAGATTTATAGCCTTGGAAGCTCAGCAGGAGTCATTATGAGTCAGAATTGACTTGATGGCAGTGTATATTTTAACCTTATTTCTTTGCCACTTGGTTCTTTTCAAAGATTGTTATCATTCTATTCTCCTAATAACGTTTCTCAGGTTTACATAATAGCCAAATATTTTCAAAGCAAATTTACAAACATGATATTAGCTTTTTTTTTTTTCTTTACAAAACTATAGTTAATGTGGTTGTATTTTAATATATTTAATATGATGTGGGTTTTCCTGACAAGGAAAGAGGTGCCTATGAATCCCAAGAATTCAAACTATTCATGCTCCTAATAGAGACAGAATATAGAAAGGGTGAATTATAGAAGTAAAAATTAAGGGCTGTAGGATTACACAGAGTGTGGCAATATTAACTAGAGATATTAGAGAGGAGTGTGTGTGTGTGTGTGTGAGAGAGAGAGAGAGAGAGAGAGAAGAGTTAATATTTGAACAGGGATTTGATGGAGGTGTTCTGCAATAATGATGTATTCATTCCAGTCATTGTATTTAGGAAAGTCACAGTGTTTAGAACATTTTTTGCCAAAATATGCATTTTGCCTGTTTCTAGCTCAACTATTTGGATGGTATACAAATGTATAATGAGGAAACTGGTTTCCTCATATTACAAATATGCTCATAAACATGAGCATCTTTATCTTTGTTTCTTCTCCGTCACTCCAGCTAAAAATTACTTCAGACAGCAATGACCTAATTAAAAAATACAAACAAAAGCCCCACCAAGAAATGCCTTTGCCTGAGAAGTAAAAATTGCCAGCCCTTCCTTCTTTAACGATAAATGGAATGTGTGCCGAGGTTGACAGCCTTCTCTTGTACGTTCTGCTTCCTGCTAGCAGAACGTCATGGTCTCAGCTCGCACCCTTCCCTGGAGACTAAGGAGAGCAGCCTTGCGCATTTACCATCTCAAAATGTGCTCTCCTCTTCGTCTTCCGCCGCCGGTCCCGCCTACACCAGTCTCGTGAGCTCCAGAGCCCTGCGCGAGCTGCGCCTTTATAGTTGCCTTAACGTTTCAACTGCTGTTATTCGGGCTGGGCTCCAAGCCAGCGGAGCCATGTTCCTTCTTCTGGTCTTTCTCACCGGACTTGGCCAGGTGCACGCAGGCCTCAGTAAGTCAGCTTACTTGATCCACCTCCCATACCTCCACAACCCAATCTTATTGAGGGGGATTTGTTCCCTTAGGGGCATATTCTTTCCAGGTCAGGGTCCAGATGTAGGCTCCTTTGCTCTCCCCGCCTATTTTACCCTTGCCTCTTGCTTCAGGGTCTGTTACAAAGAAGGTAGAGTGGCAGTCTCTAGGCAGAAAATCTTTATTGATCTGTAAAATGGACAAAAATGAAATACGTGATCTTTTTGCCCATACAGAATTCTGCTGTTCTAGGAATAATTGCATAATGATAAAGAAGGCATTCTCTAATGATTTCCAGATTTGACAACTGCCATCCTCCACCTGCTTACTTCATTGAAAACAGTAGATCATCCTGTACCCAATAGTCTTCATCTCTCACTTCCCTGCAAATGATCTGGCTTTCTTGATTCACCTGTGTTTTCTCATTTCCTGCCTCTTTACAACAGTGGAATTTGTTACTCAGTGTTGCTTAAGTAAAATTGTTTAACTTCAGAGATGTGTGTGTATGTGTGTGTGTAAAACAGAATAAAAACTTGAGATCTTGACAAAGATTCAGACATGGTTTCAGAAATTTGTTAAGAATGACCAGAAAGGCAGTGGAAAGGGAGAAGAGATGTACAAATTATACAAAAGGAAAAAGACAAACATTGATAATGTAGAGAAACAAATGCAGAATTAGTTTTAGAAATGGATGATACAAGATCACGTTATTAAAATAACATAATTTATTTTTGTTTTAGATTCTCATAAAACATTTTTGCAGACCACAGTTCCTGAGAAGATTTCATCATCTGACAACAAGAAAGATGCAGAGAATAATGTAATTGGAAAATGATATATTATAATATCTTAAAAAGGCAAGATCAGAGTTACTGAAAATAAGCAGGAATTTAATTCTTTGAGGCAGAGTTGACAGCTCAGAACAGGTTCAAATCAAGGAGCATATTGATGTGTGTGTGTTTGGGGAAGTGTTTCTGTTGAAGATGAAGGATCATAGAAATAGGATCACCATAAGCCAGGGCAAGACAAAGACAAGGTAGCCACTCACCTGAGGTGCAAAAAGCTAGGATCTCCCAGGATTAGGATGAGGCAAGTGAAGCAAATAAAAAAGTTCAGGATCAGTTCTGTCTTTATTTAAAATGTGAATATTTTGTTCATTGTAGATTTTTTGTATTAATTTTGATTTTCTAAGCATTGCATTGGGAGCTCTGGTAGCATAGTGCCTAAGGCACTTAACTGCTAACCAGGAGGCTGGTGGTTCAAACCCCCTAGCCACTCCTCAGAAGGAAGATGGGGCAATCTACTTCCATAGTGATACTGCCTCAGAAACCCAAAGAGGGGACCATGAGTCGGGTCCGACTCGACGGCACATAACAACAACAAGCATTGCATTAAAATATTATTTGATTATTGAGGTTTTTGGTACCCTGGTGATTCTGCTCATCTACTTGGCCTCTCCTTTCAGTGGGCAAGTGAGAATCTGAATGGTGATCAGCCATGGGCAGGCCTCCCTGATAATTAGCATTTGGCTTTCACAGTTTGAGACTAGATATTAGTAGATACTCCTTCTCTAATTATTCTCCAGGAAAATATGCTTATTGATTCCTTCTAGTATAGGATAATAACACTTAAAATAATTGTGATTCTTAAAATTTATTATTATTTTTTTCTTTAAGTAGTTTTTAAAAACCTCTCCCTATTTCACATAAAGATTGACTGTTTGTATCAGGTCTTCCCCCCTCCCCTTTGATATGTAGGTTTTATTTCTCAGCATGCATTTCATACTCCCTGTTTCTCTTTCAAGTGAATTATAAGCCATGACATATTATATAAATCCCATTCCACCTTCCTTTTCTGATTGGAAAAAGGGAGCTCTATTTGACTTTTTGTTTAATTTTCTTTTCCTGAGATTAATAATACCAACCTTTCCTCCCCATTATTTATCACTGAGCATACAATCTCTGAGTTTCCACTTGTCCAATGCCTAGCATTTTAAAAAAGGTATTTGATAATATGGAAATTCAATGTGTTTTACTGTAGCAATTTTAAAAGACCCCCTTTTATTTTTCAACAGAAAATTACTGTTAATGCAGGATGTGACTATATTTTAATATTCTGATATAATGTGAGGTAAGACCTGCAAAAAGGAAAAATGTCTAGGAAAGCACATACAGAGTTCTTAGATTTGACAAATGAAAATACAAGATGCTCAATTAAATTTGAATTATTTCTAATTACCTAAGAATATGTACATAAAGATAAAATTAAAAGATCATCTGAGCCGTTTATATACTAGAAATTATTTATTGCTCATCTGAAGTAAATTATAACAATCTAAATTATATATCTAGTTCTTTAATTATATTTCTGTGATCCTATTACTACCCTTAATAGTTTGTTTTGCAAAATTTGCTTTCAAATTCTTTGCAGTTATAGTCTATGTTCCATTTATCCTGTAACATAGTAGCTACAGTGATCATATCCAACTCATTTCATTCTTTTGTCCATTGTATATTTGCTAATGAGAAAACATGCTAAACATTAGCAATATGAGATGGTATACTGAACATGTATACTTTTCTGAACATGTGTACTTTTCTTAACTTTTTCAGTCTTCATGATTATTTTGTGTCTCTTGATCAACAACTTTTTAAAATGTTCATGGACAACAAAAGAGCATTGTTGTCAATATTTATTCTCTTCTTCAACAACATGGAGTATGATGGCTCCATTTTTTCCTCAAGAATAAATACTTAAAAAAAAAGAAAATTGGTAGCATCCAGGTAAAAAAATCAGAGTTCTCAAGGAATTAAATTTACTTCAAAAGATAGTCATATCAAGTGTTGTAATAATTATCCACTTCAAGTGAGAATTTTCCTGTTCATAAGTAAAATTGTCACCTTTAAAAGAAGAGCATTGGCACTTAAAAGGAACCCCTGCCCCTTTTTTTTTCTATTCTTTATGTTCAACATGTTCTTTCAAGCAATGGAATATGTCAGTAACACTGTTTGCTCTTTTATTTTCCAAAATCCTATTGCTGAAAAGATATTAAAAACTATGAACAAGGAATAAATAGTTTTCATTCAATGGCTTATTAAAAATAAATAAATAAATAAGAACACTCAGGGACTTTCTTCAGAATGGAATGATTTCTTATACAGCATTCACTCAACTGCATTTATTAAAGAGAGCCACCGGGTTTTTGAATACAAGAAAATTGAAGAATACTGAATGCTAAAAAAATCACAGAAATACTTTAATCATTTGGTTCAAAAAACATTAATGATTTTGCAAAAGAACAATATCACTACACTTACCTCAATGTCAGTAGAAAGGGCATCAAGAACTGTTAGTATGAGCAGGACAGCCAACAATCACTTTGCTTCAATTTTAAATAAATACTGTTTGCATCTTTATGAAACATCCACTAAAATTTGTATTTTTATTATCTCCACCAAAAGCAATAGAATTTTTTCTTATTGATTCCTAACTGAATAAGAGACCCTTTATGTTCTGGTTACCTAGTACTACTCTGACAAGTATATACCACAAATGGGATGGCCTTAACAAACAGCAGTTTATTCTTACAATTTGGAGGCTTTAAGTCTGAGTTCAAAGTTCCAGGCTCTAGGAGCTGGGTGAAAGCCCCTCAGCCTTGGACTGCAACTCTGCTTCCTTCTCCCAGCACACTGAAGCTGGAGGCTTTTCTTTACTCAACTGCTGGCTGCTGAGTCTGACAAGCCCAAGATTGACAAGTAATAAGGCCCAGTTCAGATGTTACCAAACCACACTGCAGGTCATTAATTCAAGTCCATCAAAAGTCCCAAGATTGATAGAGTATGGCAGGATGCTAAATGACTCAGCTACATGCAGAATTCAAGCATGCCATAAGCTAGAGGTCATTCCCCCAAGGCTTCTCCTTATATATAGGAAGCAGACCACATTCCTAAGGCAGCTACTCAAATGCTCACAGTAGATTCCACCATGAAGGTGATTACCAGTCTCACCATGGAGAATACTACATCCAACTGCCCAGCCACTCATCCAGGCGCAGCCAGGTTGACACACAAACTTAACTACCACACTTTGCAAAAATTTGCTATTGTTTTTAAAGTCTCATCTGGAAGGGATTTTACTTGAAAAAGCCATTTTAGCAAGTCTTTTTTTGTTAAAAAAAAAAAAAAAATTCTACACAGCCAAATGGAACATTTTTTTTTCTGCATGTTATTACTGGTACTTATTCCTGCCCTAATACACTGACACATTTAGATCTTTGATAATCTCTTTAATAGCAGACAGAGCCATTGCATTCCTTAATTATTGCAGATTTTATCCTGGCCCTTGAAAATTTGTTTGCAATTTTGTAATCAGAAAATAGCTCTGACAGCAGTATGTTCAAACAGCTGTTTCAACTCAAAGACTCATGGTGATACACAGTGTGGAGAACCGTAAGTTTGCAATTGTTAGATCTTCATCTGATTTCCTCTTAATTAAAAAAAAAATTATTTTATCACCTTTTTTAGTACTGGCTTAGGAAATTGTTCATCCCTTAGACCTAGCTCTTGGTATATGCTGGTATCTGATTTTCTGCCATTTTTTTAAAGGAGCTGTGGTAGTGTAGTGCCTAAGGCATTTGACTGCTAACCAGAAGATTGGCAGTTCAAACCCACCAGCCAGTCTGTAGAAGATGGACCAGGCTGTCTACTTCTGTAAAGATTTACTGCCTCAGAAATCAGAGGGGGTCTCTATGAATTGGAATTCCTCATGTCAAATGAACACTTGCATATTGCATAAATCAAAAGGGCTTTTCCCCCATTTAATACATTTTCACTGTTAAGAAAACTTATCACAAAATTACATTTGTGTTTTGGCATTTTAAGGTTCAAATATACACAAATACAAAATAGAGAATTATAACTAAGGCAAGAATTGGAAAAATGGAATTTAAAATCCCACAGCTGAATCATTGAGTCTGTCACAAGTCTAAATTAAATTCATAACTAATCCTAAACAGATGTTGAACCATTGAAATGATTGTGAATTTGACAACTAAGAAAAAATGAAACCGGCTATGGGATGCAAACAAGAAGTGAACTTCTTGTTTGCGTGTAAGGGACAGCTATCCTTGTAAGCATAATTTTCTGAGCAATGACAGAGATAATTTTATATAAAGTTTTGGGAAACCTGGAGTTCAGGGATTGGTGTTTTTTTCAGAAGTGAAAGTGTTTTGGTTTTGACAGCCTTTTAGCTGTGTTAGGAGCTCTGGCGGCATAGTGCCTAAAGCATTTGACTGCTAACCAGAAGGCTGGCAGTTCAAAATCCACCAGCCACTCCTCTGAAGGAAGATTGGGCAGTCTCCTTCCATAGTGATAGCACCTTGGAAACCCAAGGAGGGGTCGCTATCAGTTGCATCCGACTCCATGGTAGTGAGTTTGGTTCTTTTGCTTTTAGCTGTGTTAATATGGTCATTGGAATAAGCTACTAGTTCACTATCTGACTTTGAGAAGCCTGCCCACTGAACTGAGGAACTTGATTGATTGTGGTCTAGAAGCCGAGAGCTGTCACTGATTGACTGGCTTTCAGAGGCTTGGGGCTGTCATTGATTTTCTACCTTTCAAAACCTACTTGAGTGAGGCTTTTGTTGAGTGGTGGATTTTCAGAGCACATACACTGACCCGAGGATGTTATCTCTTATTAATGGTGATAACTTGTTCATTACTTGGGACTTTGGCCAAAGAGCAGTCTTGTCTTTTCTTGAATATAAACTTATCAGCGACCCCCCCACCCCCGACTTCAGACTTCCCTCAGGCAAACGTTAAG